GAGATTCTGTGCTCAATATTTGTTGCAGCTGCCTTTCACTTTGTCATTGTTTGTCATGGACTCAGCCATGGGCAATGCAGATCCAATGTCTGCCAGCGTGCAGTATTGGCCCTTGAGATCTGAAGCGGCATTGCTTGCCCTCTTCCCAGCACATATGAAAATGCAGTGGTGGCATGAAGGACAACCTCGCTTTAGCATTGGCTTCTGGCGTGGTGCATGGTGGCTCTCAGCCAAATATGAGAACCTTTGGGAAGAAAGGTGGTTTGGACTGTGCATATAGAAGAGTTTTTAAAATCAAGTTTTAACATATCATGAAAGTATGTATAAGTAGTTTGTGTGGGAAACCATTTGCGACAGTGTTCAGGATCACCATTGCCAGAGGATTGGAAGATCAACTGGGCTTCACCAGGTATCAAGCTGGTGTCATTGTACATATATTGGACTTGATGTACATGGATTCGGCTTGATGTACATGGATTGGTAATGAGCTGATGTATGATGTGTGAAAAGAAGCATGCCTTAAGCCCTGGGTCAATAATTCATGCAACATTTCATGCACGGGTTTTGTCATTGTTATGTGTTTCTGTTTGGCCTATTGAGGCTTCAGCAATGCCTTTTGACATGCATTTTGTGTAGTAACCCATGTGCATCATGCAGCATTGAGAACACTTGCAACCACTTAATTGTCATGTGGTTTGAATTGTCACTTGCAACCACCTGTATTTGGCATATGCAAGGCTGCTCATGTCATATCATGGCCTGCTCAACACTTGTGAGGTTCATGTACATTGTTTCATTGCTGCCCACCAAACCTCATTGTCACTGCATTGCATGCATGTGTGACATGTCAACCATTTGATTGCAGTGTTTCTTGCACAAACCAGAGTTTGAAGTAGCATTTGTGTTTTGCTCTGCTGATTTCACCATGATCAGCAGCGATGTCATCGAGGATGTGGAGAACATCATCTTCTCAGGGTTGGGGCTGCTCAACAAATGGGCACAAATTGAGAAAATACTCTTGTCAAATGGATTGGCATACAAGCAAGAGCTGCCACCAGAGCTGTTTGTGGTGCACCCCTCAAACAGGGGAGGGTTTGGCATAAATGCATGGAATTGTCATGCCAAGGGGTCTATGATTTGCGCCATGGGTGCAGACCTTTCCCAGCTGACAGGGTCTGTTGCTTTTGAGATGTCAGCAGCAAAGAAGGATGAACAAATCAAGTTTACCAAGGACCTTGCACTTGCAAGTGAAGGGCTCCTTGCCATTCCTTCTGGTGCAGAGCGGTTCATGACAGTCAGCAAAGGGCACACTACTCAGTTCATGAAATCCATCAAGAACTCTTGCAGGACCCCCCAAGCTAAGTTGGCCAGCCAAGATGGTCATTTGGGAAGCCACCTGTTTGCAAAGGATCCTTCTTTGCAGAAAATGGTCCAGACAGGGTGGACTTGGACAATCATTTTGTCCATTGTGGAGGACAAGTTCCCCCAACTCCCAGCATTGATTGAAGCTGCATGTAACAGCACCAATGCCACATATGAGGCACAGAATGAAATCCAGCTCATGTCAGCTGTGGTGAGTCATGTCAAGAATGTAAGTTCAAAAGATGGAAAGCATGACTTTGCTGCAATTGCTGATGGACTTTGCCTTGGTGGCCCCATCAAGAGCTATGCACCTATGGTGGGGAGGTATGTGCAAAGGCATGGAGGCATGCAATTATTGATGTTGTATTGCATGCGTGCACTCTTCATGAGTGTTGCACCAGTGGCACTCATTGCTCATGAATGCTCATGTTACTACTCACATGCATTCATTGGTTCATGAGGTTTTCATGGTTAAAGTTTGTTCATGAGTGTTCATTCATGGCTGTTCATTTTTGTGGGTATTTGCAGGTGGAGCTGATGGAAGTCTTGTTGACTTTTTGGCGCACATGGGCAAGGCATTTGGTGAGAATGCAACCATTGGTGAAGAGTGCATGAATACCTTGACAGAGGTGAACCTTTCCAAGTCCAAGTTCTTCACCATGATCAGAAGTGCCATTATTGTCACCAATGTGGTTGTGGGTAAGTGCACTGATGGGGTGGCTAAGCTAGTGACAAAGAGTGACATCACTGGCCTCAAGTCCCCCAAGAATCTCACCATGATCCTTGAGGTAGAGGCATTTTTGGAAATGGCATGGAACAGTGCTTTGTCCCAAATTGCTAGTGGTAAGAAGAAAGCTGATGTCTACAAGGTGTTTGGCATTGCA